ATATTATATATATATATATATATATATATATATATATATATATATATATATATATAGTATATAAGTTCAATAAGTGTCTTATTGAATTAACCTGTAATATATTCATAATATTATTATAAATAACAGCTTGTTGTTCCTTTGAGTATGTAGTTGAAGGTCCTAAAGCTTCGAGAACCAGAGTAAGATAATCTTGAATATTGGTCGATAGATATGCGGCGCGCAGCGCATTCTTCAAGATATCTGTGAGTAAGACCGGCCATCGTTCTCCGTGATATTCCCACAACATGTGCATCAATAATCTGACCAATTAAATGTTCGAATTTTTATGTTAATGCACAAAAAAAAAGTCTAGAGGAAACAATGTTAGAACCAGAATAGCTTAGTCGTCTAATGACTAATAAATTTCGCTTGCAAGTTGAAACTTTTATCACATGAAGAAAAAATTGATTTTTTAACTTACGTAAGAACTTTGCCATAATCCCGAGCATTGAAGTACTCCTCTGCCATTTGCACAACTATAAAAAAAAATATTTTATGAGTATATTATAAGTAATTATATATACTGTTCCCTCTAAGTTTCCAAAAACATATTATACCCAATAATCGGCGCATTCTCGGACAACGGTACACCTTAAATTGCGATATTGCATTTCCTAATAAGCCAATAATTATCATCTGCAAAAAAATGACAATTATTGCTATTTATTTATCATATGTTTATGAGCTAAAAGCGCCGATATATTTATCTTACAGAATGATTAACTGTAGTTTTCTCTCTATATTGTAAAGCCTGTGTACCGATAACTTCTCTGGCTGTGTCTGCAGGTTCTGCACTTAGTTTTCCCGGCCGCCATGGTCGCTGCCCATAAAACTCAAGTTTCTCTTCACCTAATAATGGATCTGGATCGGGATAGCTATTTACATCCTGAAACAATATCAAATATCTACAATATTATAATTCGAATAAAATATAACATAAACAGGAAAATTGCAATGTATTTATTTAAAAAATTATTCATACTTGGCAGAGTTCTTTACACACAGATTGTCGTAGACTTGCATGATTGGCAGCTAGTTGGAAATAATATCCTGGATGTTGCGTTTGAACAGCAGGTAACCCTTGACGAATGGCTTCGTCAAATAATTCTGCAAATGTAGAGAACTGGCTACTCATCCAAGCATGATGTTCAAACATAAGCTCTTTTGGACCAGTTTTTAGCTTAAATCTGATAATAGATAATGATTAATCATTAGAAATCCGAGAACTTTTGTAAATTAACACAATAAATATTAATACCTTTCTGTATGAAGTCTAAACTGAGAAATGGCATCTTTCGGAAGATTCAAGCTAAACATTATTCTGCATAACTTATAATTTATAAATCCAGCAATGGTTTTTATTTCTACCGCATTTGCATCTGTCATTCTTGTTTCTAGTAAATTGTGATAAGCTTGCATATAATGCCTGCAAAACATGAATGTGTATACATATCTTCCAATATATATAAAAGTTCTTTATATCTTTAATCTTACTTTTGAGCAAGATGCAGTTCCTGCTTGAGTTCGTTCAAGAATGCCATTTTGAATTGATGACGAACAAACAAATACTGATGAACATTTTTAGTGAGTTGATCACGATGACTTTTAACATTCCGATATTCGTGATAATAAAAATTTTGTGCCAAATCATAGAACGCTGTCTCTAATCTATATTATAAACAAGAAAAAAAAAAAAAAAAAATATATATATATATAT